AGAGAAAGAGAGAGAGTAATGTAGTAGTTTATACAATGATAAAAAAATCACGAATTTCAGTGACACGGTTGGTTATTTCACATAGATAATTATGAAATGTTAGTTGAAATACCTTATAATGATCGTTCAATTATGAAGTATGACTATATGTTTGGCTGTATTTATAAGTGTTGAATAAAGTAGACGTTTTACTAATTAATTAAGAATAATTTTGCAATACTATTGATATATTGGACTCCAATGAGTATGAATGTTTCTTATGAGAACTCAGAACTAAAATGAAAAAAAAAATGACTCTCGAACATTATAAATAGATAAATAACTCATGCATCTATAATATACATTAGATCCTTATTTATTTATTTATTATTATTATTATTAATAGGGACTTATTTTCTTATATATTTTTGTTTGAGTTTGTAACATGTTATTTAAATCCTTTTATGTTACGACACCATTATGTTGTTTTAACAAAAAATTTATATTAAGAGTTTATTTGTTCTATATTTCATTTTGTTCTTGCAATCATATATTTATTAAATTAATTAATTTATCTTATCGGCCAAAAATATTTGTTACCACGTGCATTGCACGTGCATTGCACGTGCACTTTACTAGTATTGCTAAAAGTGCCAAAAGCCAAATGATGATCATATGATTATCATGAAATGTATATGATATTAGCTCGGTTTTGCTTTGGATTCTCTTTCGAAGCACCGTTGTGTTTCCCCCACACAATCCACAAACTAGCGTTTGGGTTTTTGCGCGTTCGAAAGGCATTTTAAACATATACGATGGATCGCTGAAAGTATATGTATATATTTTCTGTGAATAAATTAAGTGGATCCTACTGAGACTAAGTGTTGTGGCAGAGAGTAGGAATATATGTTAGTTCATAAGGATTGTGGGTCAATGTGCTGCTTAAAGTGATGAATGTACACGAGAAAATGAAGAGATATATATCATATAATTGTTAGTGCATGTCTCAGAATCTAAAGGAGCTATGCTTCTTTTTCCATATCAAAGCATACAAATTTATGAGGTCCATATTAATGGAGGAAAAGAACTTTCACTTATTGACACAATGCCACATGATTGAACTATATCTTGTCCACATTAAAATTCGAATTTAAAATTTTGCGATAACGATTTCGTTTTGCTTGTCGTTAACTGTTGATCTAATATTCTAACCTCACCAATCGAAGATCGGTTGGATAAGTTTCGGCACTTAAAGCGTATTTCCACGCTTTATAGTACGTTATTGTATATACTTTGTGTGTATTAAAATACTTGCTATTCGTTTTTATATGAGAAGTAGTAACTTTTGTACGTCATACCACTAGATATATTTCGTGTCTATAGTCGTTTTCGTATGCTTTCGTCTAGTACAAATGACCCTCTTTAGGTATATATGGTTGAAAGAACCAAACCCCAATTAGGTTTCAAGTGAAAAGGCAATTAGTTGTATGTTCTCTACAAGATATGCCTGTTTTTGAGGGAAAGGGTTCAATGAAGTATGATATAGAGATTGTTGTTATACCAAGTTTGAAGGAATAGTTTAAATCCTTGCAATAATTGCAATATTATGTGATTTGCTTTCATAATATACAAATTAAATCTTTTTCTTTTGTTTGTATCTGAAGTTACTTGTGTACATTGAATTTGAAGATAATATGCTGATACATCTTACAAGACATAATAATAACAATATATTCACTAACAACATTAGAAATCTCAGATATACAAATTCAAGGCCATTTAGTGAATTCAAATACTTTGAAAACAATGTCGATTCCGGTTGGGATCTGCCAAATGAAGAGAAGTACGTTCAAGGCGTTCAACGCAATGTGTAGATTTCTCGCAGTTTCATTTCCCTTCTGCATTGGAGGCACTAATGCAGCAGCAGCAGCCCATAGAACTGTTATGGCTGTTTCATAACGAAGCAAAACCGAAAAAGTTTAGCCCTTTTCACCCGAAAAATGCAGTCTAAATGTTACAGAAGTAACTAGTTGTTCGCCTCGCCTGTTACATTTTCTGATCCTATTTTCCTATATTTGACCAAAATCAAAGATTACTTGTTGTCGTCTGGCATTTCTATTCCTTCTTTTTTTTTTTAAAGAAAATTTCACCATCTCCCTTAAGCCCTCAGGAAACTTATTTTACACACAAAGTGAATAAAACAATGAAGGATTAGCATGTTGAAAACTCCAAATTACACCTTACAATTCGTGGATATGGTGGTTTTTATGGTATGCTGAGCTGAAAACTCTCCTAGTTCTCGTTAGAGCAATATCACCATAGATTCTTGAGATGTCTAATCACATAAACTAGGGAGTTTCTCTATCGTATTATTTGGAATTTACTAGCTACGCCAATTACCTGCACCAGCAAATAAATGAGGCCCGGGGAATAGCTTTCCTGTTCTGAACCAAGTGTTGATCCCACCAAACACAGATTCGAATACTCCAAATCCAAGCAATATGGAGCCTGCATTGAAGTGCTTGTCCCGATATGACCCCTTGATCAACGCCTTCCTCTCCTGTAATAAACAACAGCTGAGACGTTAGTTATGTAAATGTATTTAGTTAGTTGAAGACAAGCCCAGGCAACTTTTTCAGCAAATGTAACTAAGCTATTTCATTCTCCAGGGCTTTCAGTTACGGCAATTACAAAACTCTTACTTATTTCTACTCTTCTCCCGAAAACCATCAAGAGATTCCTTGATGATATAAAATCAACTTCGTTGAATGAACATACGAGCAAAGATACTTGTATTACATTCATTGATGAACCACATTTTCCATTTTTCGACCCGTATTAGAAATACAATAGTTTCAATGGTTGTTTACTCCACTCTTCGGAACACCGAAATTTACACCTTCCGAGAGAACCTTCACAATCACCACATCAAAAAACAACTCTTGTTTGGTTAAATCACATTGCCGGTTCGAATTGCCTATTCCGGTAAGCAGACAAACATAAAACCTGCCGTTATTCGATTCCAAAGACCGATCCACAATAGTATTGGATAACCAAGTTATTAAATTGAAACACATACACAGCTCTCAATGTACTGCTTTCATTGTATACCTCGGTAAGCTGCTCGATCTTGGCTTTGACCGGGGAAGGCGGCTGGGCCGGCGTCGGGTTCCCGTCCGGCGAGACGGCGACCGGCCTGACCTGCTTCTTCAGCTCGTTGATCTCGTCCTGTATGGTGCGGACCCGCCTCCATTGCCACCCAAGATACCCAGCATACAGCGTGTACATAAACAGCCCACTCATCACAATCGGGTGAACCAACGCAAAAGATCTCCCTTCCAAAATCCCAAATTCCCCTCCAACGGCGCTCGCATCCTATCAACATTCAAAAATCATCACACCGTAAAATTTTCAAAAAATTAAATTAAAGAACAAAAAAATCGAAAATGAAAAATGATTGAAATGCCTTTGGATCGAAAAAGAAAGGCAATGCGAGCGCCGCGAGGGGGAGAGGAGCAGCTGATTTCAGCTGCGCCGCGGCTTCGTGGAGGAGCTTGTGGGGATTGGTTGGGTATTTTGCGGGGTCGTTTTGGGATTTCGAGGAGTTGAGGGGAGTGGGGAGTAATTTTGAAAGGATTGGGCGGTGGCGGNAGTGGTGGTTGGGCGGTGGACCGGCGGCGGGGAGCTTGGGCAGGCTGAGCATGGCCGCCATGCTTCGCGAGTTGCGGGCTTGAGTTTTACAGAGGACACGTGTAAATGCATAAATGGCAAAGGAGATGTCAAGAGAGCGATAAGATAAGGGTAAAATCGTAAAGTAGATATCAACGGATGAAAACGGGCCGCGTAAGTAAGATTGCTCTGTGGACCCAAATTGTTTTGTTATATGCAAATAAGACGAGGCCCATTTTTTTTCTTCTGTACGTGAAGAGGCCCAGTTATAAATGTATTAGTAGGCCCATACAATAGTTGGGCGTTGGTACAGTGTACCTGGGCCTTCAGTACAGCCCATCATCATTGCACAAATGAGTGGGTCCATAAAGCAATGGCCCGTTCAAAACGCCCTCGCGTGCCCCTCTTGGAGACCCGCGGCCATGTTACTTCGCCGGAAAATTCACTCCGTCCCCCGCACCACCGCCCCAAACGCACCGATCCTCCGGCCAATCACCACCGTGTCCACCGAAAACCGCCACGGTCGCCCTCGTAGCACAAACTCCGAAACGCAGCTCCTCAAGCCCCACAACCCCACGCCCCCAATCAAACCCTGGCCGCAGAAACTAACCCCCAAGCGCCTCTGCTGCATCATCACCCACCAGCAAAACCTCGACCTTGCCCTCCAGATTTTCCACTATGCCGGCGACCACCACCCCGGCTTCCGCCACACATACGACACCTACCACGCCATCGTCCACAAGCTCTCCCGCTTGCGCGCGTTCGAGCCAGTGACCCCCCTACTGAACGAGATCCGCAGTTCAGGTATCAAATGTGGCGAGAATATGTTCATCACCCTCATCCGAAACTACGGCGTCGCCGGCCGGCCGAAGGAGGCGATCGGAATATTCCTTCGGATCAACGATTTTGGAGTCCAAAGGTCCGTCCGGTCGTTAAACACCCTACTCAACGCCCTGGTCCAGAACAGAAAGTACGATTCCGTACACTTCGTGTTTAGAAACAGCCGGGAGAAGTTCGGTATTGTCCCTAACGTCTTCACCTGCAACATCCTGCTCAAAGCTCTCTGCAAAAAGGGCGACATGGAGAGTGCCCTCAAGGTGTTAGACGAAATGCCCGGAATGGGACTCGTCCCAAACGTGGTCAGCTACACCACGATTATGGGTGGGTATGTCGACCAGCGTGACATGGAAGGTGCCAGGCGGGCATTCAACGAGCTTCTCGACCGCGGCTGGCTGCCGGACGCAACCACTTACACCGTCCTCATGGATGGGTTCTGCAAGCTCGGCCGGTTTACGGATGCATCGAAAGTGATGGATGAGATGGAAGAGAATGGGGTCCACCCAAACGATGTCACGTACGGCGTCATGATTGAGGCCCTGTGCAGGGAGAACAAATCCGGTGAGGCGGTGGGCATGATAAGTGACATGCTCGACAAAAAATACGTGCCGGGCCCAGCCCTGTGCTGCCGGGTCATAGACTTGCTGTGCCGGGAGGGAAAGACGGATGAGGCATGCCAGCTGTGGAAGCTGCTGCTGTTGAAAAACTGCACGCCGGATAATGCAATCTCGAGCACGCTCATACACTGGTTGTGCAGGGAAGGGCGCGTTTGGGAGGCGAGAAAACTGTTTGACGAATTCGAGAAGGGCTCAATTCCTAGTGTGTTGACATACAATGTGTTGATTGAGGGGATGTGCGAGAAGGGGGAGCTGGGTGAGGCCGGGAGGCTGTGGGACGACATGGTGGGGAGAGGCTGCCGGCCAAACGCATTCACTTACAATGTGCTTATCAGAGGGTTTTGCAGGGCGGGTTATGCAAAGGAAGGGGTTAGGGTGTTGGAGGAGATGGTGGGTGGAGAGTGGTTCCCGGACGAGCGGACTTGTGGTGTGTTGATCGAGAGTATTTGTGGGTCCAAGTGTGAAGAGGATGTGTTCGATGTGGTGCTTCGCACGACTGTGTTAGGTGAGGTGAGGATAAAGTCGGATTCTTGGAGGATTTTGGTGGAGAAGTTTGTGAGGGTCGGTGGCGGTGCGGCTTTGGAGAATGTTTTGGGGGCAGATGCTATTTAGGTGTCTGATTGTTGGGTTGAGGTTGAGAATTGAGACTAATGCAACATGGAGGGCGTGAGGTGAGTCTTAGAGAAGGAAATTGTTGAGGCTGATGATATAAAAGCACTTTTTTTTTTTCCTTTTCTTTTTTTTACAATGAATGATGTAGTGGTGGCAAGATGTTGCTGCGGCTTGCAGATTGGATTTTTTTT